TCGTGAAACTCCATAGATACTAGTGAAATATATTTTTCACTACTCTTTTCCATACCACGGGTGAAATTCCATTGTATATAACACACATATAATTCCTCAACTATAAATTGTATACTCACCGAGCCGCAGCTGATGTCCTGACCAGCACTCTTATGATCTTATTGAGGCAATCCCATTCATAGTGCCCATCTTCATCTCGGAATATATTCGTCAAGTTGTTCAACTGTTCTTCTTCAGACTCCCACACTATAGTCTCCGTTATCCTCTGAAAAAGACCCTATTCGAGATATGATTCATATAATATTATTTGATAACATAACTTTGGTTGACTATAATCAAGCTTCACCCGTTTTACGTGAAATGACGTTTTTTTCTGTGAAAAACCCGATATTCGCGCTATGCCGTAGTCGTGGAATCTATTTTTCATATCGCGAGTGAAATTCTTTTATAAACCATATAGTATTTTTCCTATACAATTAACCCGTTGAAAATGCTCCCACCTGTCTCCGCGCTCTCTCGTCAGACTGCGCATAAATCTCCTTCTCTGTCGCTCCTAATTTCCTCAACAATTTCGGCTTGCTACACATTTGCCTTTGCCGCTCTAGCTGAACCAGAGTGTCCGCCACCAACGCCTGGTCACACCGAATGATCTAAACATACGAGGTGGTTCGCTGAGAAACATTCAGATGAGGAAGTCTTCTTACTGAGCTCCTGTTGACCATAGAGCCGTGACTAGGATCAACGATATGTATGAGGCAGGCTGATAATGCTGTTATGCTCGCTGACTCCTCCTTAGTAAGGTCGACACATTCACATAATCTAGCTGTTAACTCAGCTGATGCCTTCTGTACCTCTAGAGCTCGCAGGACCGGTACTATCCTGAGATAGTGATAGTAAGGGTAGCAGAGATAGTGATAGTAAGGGTAGTGATAGTAAGGGTAGCAGAGATAGTGATAGTAAGGGTAGCAGAGATAGTGATGGTAAGGGTAGTGATGGTAAGGGTAGCAGAGATAGTGATAGTAAGGGTAGCAGAGATAGTGATGGTAAGGGTAGTGATAGTAAGGGTAGCAGAGATAGTGATAGTAAGGGTAGCAGAGATAGTGATGGTAAGGGTAGCAGAGATAGTGATGGTAAGGGTAGCAGAGATAGTGATGGTAAGGGTAGCAGAGATAGTAAGGGTAGCAGAGATAGTGATAGTAAGGGTAGCAGAGATAGTGATGGTAAGGGTAGCAGAGATAGTGATAGTAAGGGTAGCAGAGATAGTGATGGTAAGGGTAGTGATAGTAAGGGTAGCAGAGATAGTGATAGTAAGGGTAGCAGAGATAGTGATGGTAAGGGTAGTGATAGTAAGGGTAGCAGAGATAGTGATAGTAAGGGTAGCAGAGATAGTGATAGTAAGGGTAGCAGAGATAGTGATAGTAAGGGTAGCAGAGATAGTGATAGTAAGGGTAGCAGAGATAGTGATAGTAAGGGTAGCAGAGATAGTGATGGTAAGGGTAGAAGAGATAGTGATAGTAAGGGTAGCAGAGATAGTGATGGTAAGGGTAGGAGAGATAGTGATGGTAAGGGTAGCAGTTGTGATAAACGACTACCTCGACTGAACCACAATCAGTAACGCATCAGTATCGAAGAGCTCTCACAACACTATGCCCTCAACTTACATGCCCTTTCCACTAGCATCAATAACCCCACCGGTGTGATACAATGACGTTAAAAATGGTATGATGCACTTGAAAACATAAGCTCGTGGTTTGGCCAAGCCCTTATGCTTCCCCAACCACACACACGATGACAACACTGTAGATGCACGCCCATCATCCACTCCCGTTGGAGAATCTGATATCATCAATATCATTTTCATACAGTGCACATAGTCAACCACATATGTTGGTGACAATATTAAAATTTTGCGGAAATTTTGGGAAATTCTGGTTGGTTTTTGTACGTTTTTGCCCCAATTCGTAAGTGAGGAAACTCCTGTGGTCATTTATATCACAACACTGTTCTTCTCATGCTCTTCCACCCACTAGGTCCTCTCACCCGAGTTCTTAGATCCTCCTGCATACAGGGCTTGTTGCTTCCTATGCTCTTCTAAACAGTCCTTAATAGTGTCAGTGAAATCATCCATGACACCAGCTATGACTCCCGCTGGAAGGGTTAGTACCCCTTCTGCTGTGTGAACCAATCTGAAAATAAAGTCCGTGATGGCTTATAAGTTATATAAGGAATTCTCGATCGTTCTATCGGTCATTTATCAAATCATTATATACTATATTGATATCTCTGTCCCATATATAGTTATATCCAGTTTCAATATTAACGATAGTAGGTATGTGTATTACAAAACATTATTATACACTATCTTTTATCTGTGCATACGATCGGAATACAAGGAAACTGCATACTACCTTATAAAATCTAATAAAGCCGCCTTTACCCCCACCCTGGTACACGACATCAGTAACCCCACCATATTCCCCACTGGTAATACCCTTCCTAACAGTGCCGCTACCTAAGACCAGCTACTACCTACACCTCACCAATGCACACCCTTCCTACTCGTCCATCCTTCCTCCTCGTTTCAACGGTAGTCTGTGTGACATCGTTCGAGTCCGTCACCACAACAGCTTCAGCGTTATCAGTAGCGCACACTCGAAGAAGGTCCAAGAGCTCTATATAGTATCTCGGATTCCCAGTATTCAGCTGCTCTCTGAGGCTCTCCATCGCAGTAGCATTACCTGATATCCAAGGTCGATGCGGGCAAGATTCAAAATAGGTCCGAAAGAGGCCCACCTTTGGCAATAGCATGATATAGATCTCCCAAAATACTAGGGACTTCACACAGGCTCCTCGCTACAGTAAGCCTAATACCACTATCTACTAGAGATGGGTCCAAGCACTCTAGCAGGGTCCTCAATGCTTGTATCTCAACCGTCATAGGGCGTTGCGATAGTATACGAAGAGAACAGCTGATATACTGCTGATACCTGAGTCGATGGTGACACCACGACTCGATGGTGAAAGTGTCACCATCACTGTACTACTCTACTATATACAATGTCAGTGAATAACACGACAATTCCTATAGGCGTCATACTATAAAAGCAAACCTCGTGAATGTGTGGTCCAAACCGGAACACATCGCTGCTCTAACTCTGCTACCCATGAATTCGAAATTGTCTACATTTTCCAACACGAACTTCAAGTTTTAAAAAGTTTTCCCGGAGGGAACGCAAACGAACCCAGTGGGAAATAGCAGCTCGAGGACTTCCCCAAAAGTTGAGTTAAAGGGGTGTAGTTAATCCTAAATTTCTCCGCCTTAATTTCCTCAATCTAAGAAAACTATTGTAATTTCATTTTCGGTAAACCAAAAAACGCCTACTCCTAGACATTCCCCCCACTTACCACTCCGCAGCCAGTTCCTTATTAGCACATAACAACTCGATGCACAATCTATTAGCGCCTCTAATATCATCCTCAGCATGTCGTAGGTACACCGGGAAGTCCCTGGCCAGCCGCCTTATCACAGTTCGGTAACTGGTTGCGTGCGCCATAGTAGTTAAAGTAGAATAGCAATTCTCCCACACCGCCACTCCCAGATACGGTACATTCAACAGTTGTAGTAAGTGCTCGTGAACTCCCAGAGCAACATACAAATCGGCAGCCCTGAAAACCATACCGTAAATCCGTCACATCCTACTACCCCCTTACTTGGTGAGGCCAGTACTATCATCAGGCACCAGGCTGGCCCGTAGCTGACCTGTAGCCCTAGCGGCCAATAGCATATCAACTTCAGGCTCGTCCAGAATTCTCGCTAACTCTACTGCCCACTTCTGCGCACTTTCCAACAGCTCCATCTGGCCCTCTTCCACATAGTGTACCCTCAGCAACGACCTCTTCAATTCAGTGTGCGTTACATGCAGACGTAACAACATGCTCGCCAGACTTTCCTCGAGGCTTGGATCAGTGGTCCTACGTAGTGCATTAAAACACTTCTCCACAAGATTCATCCCAGGGTTCAACAGCGCGTCATTAATTTCATCAGCCCTATGCCCAGCAACGACCGTCAAGACCCTATGGTGCAGCTGTAAATCCTTTATGGAATGCAGCACATTCAAGGCCTCAACCTTGCATTTTCTCCCACTAATCATCCGCCTCTGAACAACCTCTTCACTTCCCGTCACGAACTGCTCAGTGCTGGCAACATGAATGAGCTCCCTTACAGTGTTACGCCGATCCTTAGGATCGTTATACATATCATTAACAGTAACAGCATGCACCAGCTCAAGTGCAGCATACAACGCTTCGTTCATCTCAGGTTGATACACTGCTCTATGTATGAACAACAACAGCAGATCCAACAAACTCTTACACCCGTCGCTGGTTTCAACTTTAGTGTTCTCAACAACGCGATCAGCCACATCTTTCTTCCACGTAATGCCGACTGTCCCACTAGGGTATTGCTCCGAGACTCTGTTAGCATCCACCACATACGTAGTAGATGACAGTTCCTTCCTGCTCCATCCGACCTCGCATACATCAACAAATAATGTCAAAATCATTTTGCAGAGTCCCACCACCGCAATACACGCAGCTGGGGCTTCGCACTCTGATTTGAAACAGCTGACCATCGCTCGATCAAGTTCATGCAGAAGCGGCTTCAACTGCACATTGAGAACTTCCAACAACTGTCTCGAAATTTCCGGGTTGTGCATAGCGAGATCGCCTACCAACACCTGTGCCAGTAGTAAATGTTCAGGGCCGAGTTCTCCTACAAAATACATATAAACAAGGACTCCCTTATTCGACCAACCTTCGATGCTGCTCTTAAGGGTCTCCAAATATGCTGTATTGTTACATATACAACCATATACCATCCTCTGAGCTCTTCTAGAGTTCTCGCAAACACTACTGATAGCCTTCGCTCCGCGAGTAAAATACGAACTCCTTTTCGTAGTGAACGTCACTTCCACAAGTCGGTCAACCTTATCACGAAAAAACACAATGAGGGGAAAAAATCTTCATACTGCGTAATAGGATACCTGCGATTCTGATATGCAGAAACACTTCCTTGTGCATACCGCTGCTACTCCTTCTATTGCCGGAGGAAGAGCTGACCACATCCTAATCGCTATCGCATTCACCGTATCAGTATGAAGAGCAGGAATGAGGCAACCCAGAAGCCTAAGGCGGACATACGATGTGGCCGTGGTGTGGTCTTAATATTCTTACCTTCCTTTTCTCGAACTCGGCGGGTGCTTCAATATAGCACTTAGTGCTCCCATATCCACTGCTGCTCGTACCAACAGCCCGATCGGGCCCTGTCGAAATTAATAAAGAGGCGACCCAAAACTCGAGGCCAACTACTTACTCTCGCTTCCTCCCACGGTTGGAGTATATCCCTAAACTGCACCAACACATCAGAATCATCTTCAAAGTTGTCCACCCGCCAAACCGCCTCCTTAACTGCTCTCTCCCATATCCTTCCCTTGTCCCTCTTAGTATCAGTAGTTCTATTATTCCTCAATTTTTTCATATATACAGGACCACATCTAGCACCCCAAGACATAGACTCCAGCACAACCGCATTCTCCTCCTTATGCAAGCCTCCTCCTACTACTACTACATCACTAGTTCCTTTCCCCAAGCTCAGATTAGTCAGCTGCTTCCTCACGATCCTCCAGTTGCATACTTTCTGATGCTTGTCATTGTCAACCTCTTTAGACGTCAGCTCCTCCTCAAAAACATCATCATCTTGAGACACCGAATGATCAAACCTCGCAGACCTCTTGCTGGCCTCCTCAGCGGAGCGTTGCGCTTTTTTCATTCGTTCAAGTTCATCCCAGTCACTTGCCTCAGCCTCTATGACCTTAAACCACGTCCCCGGACTGCCCTGCATATAACAATCGGTCGGCTCCAAACAGTGACGATATATACCGTAATCTCCTTCATTTACAGAAATGTCCACACTGAGCAACTTCCCAGTAGCGACGTGGCGAAACTGCGCATACCGTCCCAATTCCAACTCCTCTCCAGCTTTCCTGTACCGACTCACGTATAAATTGTACTTATCGCAAACCCCCACAAACTCCAGCGAGCTCTCATCTCGGTGCTCTCCCCTCTCCTTGCTACTACTATGGCGTGGTGACACGACAGTCTCGTCACCCTCCTCCTCTTCCTCAGCAAGCTGATTATGTTGCTCCTCAGCCCCACCGTAGAGGCCCAAATAGTAACACCGTACGCATACACAAACAGCTGATACGGGATGCTGATAGTACGCAAGACTAAAAATGGCTAAAATTACAGCGGAGCGATGCATCTCCCAAAAAATATATGTTCGCTCTCTTCGGCTGATCTCAGGAGTTTCCTCACTAATTATACAAATCTACCTACGAATCCGGGTGGGAGTTCGTCATACCATAATTTTCATATAGTCTTGCGCAAATTGTCCCACCCTCTACCTAGTATCATGGCCACATGTAGAGCACGTTGTTCCAGTCTGCTCTCCCGGAGCTGCCGCCCCTCCTGTTGCCGACTCATGATAAAAGAACGAGTGTAGCTCATCACAGTACTCCACATCCAAGCGAACTACTCCTGATAAACTAAACAACAACAAGAAGAACCTTGCATATACTCGCCGCCGTCTTAAATGCTGAGGTTACCTCCCACCAGCATCAGCTCCTGATTCGGTGTTGGCAGTAGTAGCACTAGGCTGCAATCTAAACGGGACCGCGAAGGTCTTAAGGAATGTCTTGCCAGTATGAGGGTCATAATAAGGGTCCGTCCATAACGACCGAGATGATAGTATTGACGACCGATACCTGTGAGCAACAGCAGCAGCTGAGCTCGCGTCACCACTAGAGTGGCAGTGTCACCATTCATTGGTTTGGTAGTAACTCCCTTTAGCTCCTCCGAATTCTTCAACATGAATTCCCTTGTATCGGCATGAGCCGCTCTTACTGCCACTTCCCTAAGAGTTGGAATATATGTTGGGTTTCCTCTACTAACCTCGAATGCTTCCTCGACTACATAATGACGACTTACACAATAACATCATAAAAATGTTAAATACGAATATATAATTTCACGCTGTCCTAGGGTAGACATATACGAAAACCCGTAAAAATTTCCCAAAATTCCCCCAGAAATTTCACATTTTCACCAACACGCTTAAATCCAACTATAAGACATGCGCGCTACGAGTAATAGTAAACTTACACCACCACCACTACTACTACTACTACTACTACTACTACTACCTGCTGAGCAGTCCAAGAGGCATACGTCATCCACGCATCCTTATTAGCATATGCTTGTGGTTGAAACGCAATACCCATACCAAACACGCGACAATCCTTCCTCAAATAAGCCTCCGTCAACTCCTCCAGAGCCGCACCATCCAAAGGTTCACTCCGCGCTGTCAAGCGAGCCGCGAGACTGATCGCTGACTGGGCCAGGGAATCAGCAAGCTTATCAGCTTCAGCCGCAGTGAGGTAAGTAGAATGCCTCGTCTCCTCCACTTCCCTCGATGCTCGACTGCTCCTCTCACTAGACTTCATCTCTGCTGCCTAAGAGAACGGACCTCACAAACTGAGTCCCACTGTCGGGGGAGTATATGTTCGCTTTCCTCAGCTGAGCTCAGGAGTTTCCTATACAGTGTTGGAGGAATATATGTTCGCTTTCCTCAGCTGAGCTCAGGAGTTTCCTATACAGTGTTGGAGGAATATATGTTCGCTTTCCTCAGCTGAGCTCAGGAGTTTCCTATACAGTGTTGGAGGAATATATGTTCGCTTTCCTCAGCTGAGCTCAGAAGTTTCCTATACAGTGTTGGAGTAGGAATATATGTTCGCTTTCCTCAGCTGAGCTCAGGAGTTTCCTATACAGTGTTGGAGTAGGAATATATGTTCGCTTTCCTCAGCTGAGCTCAGAAGTTTCCTATACAGTGTTGGAGTAGGAATATATGTTCGCTTTCCTCAGCTGAGCTCAGAAGTTTCTTATACAGTATTGGAGGAATATATGTTTGTTTTCCTCAGCTGAGCTCAGGAGTTTCCTCACTAATTATACCAATTTTTACACATAAATTCGGGTAAAAATATACAGTAACCAACTAGGAAATAACATCTACTGACCATGTGCCCACCTTAAGGCGGCTGTCCAACGTAACAACACCAGCAAAGGCGTTCCTCCAGTAGAAGGGCACAGCATAGGCCAGGAAATCCCCATCACTACTGTAGCTACTCCACACACCTCTGCCCTGCCTCTTCGCTTCAACATACCTATTCATTGATAACAGTAAAGACTATTAATATTATTACAGTTCTCGACACGTATAGTCCGGAGCTTGCGGAGGAATCCACTGATAGAATTCAGCCTCAGCCACTTCTTGCTCTCGAGATTGCTGGGCCCTTGTTCTATCACCGAGTTTACAGTACCGTGATAGATTGTTGAAAACGTAAGGCTCAAAGCAGACCGTCATGTATTTGATGTTAGTGTTAGACTCGAATTCTTGTAGTAGAAGATGTTCAATATATTTATCGGTGACCATAGAGGGGTTACTCTTTTCCAAAGCGGCCACTACTCGACGAGGATGCACAGTCTGGAGAGAGGGAAATGCATTTACTTGAAGAGAACGCACTCGCTTACCTGCATTTGCATCCACGAAGGAACGAATCGATCAGCCAACTGCTGACTCGCTGCCAACTGCTGAGCTGGGGAGATAGGAGGGTCATCGGACACAGCCGCGACCTACAAGTGGACCTAATCCGTATCTTCCACAGAGGAACCTTGGATACCTCCCATTCACAGACGCTCCAGTCGATGCCTTTTTGATGCACCCCTTGCTGCAGCGGCCATTCCTCTATAGTGTCCGCCAAGACACTTCCACCCTGTGTCGCGTAGATACTATCTTGCCCACATATAAAAAATCGATCTCCAACTCTTAAGGGCTGATGCCTCTTTTTCATTCGCCCGCCCTGAAAACTACTACTCAACGCTCCTACTACGATTAGCATCATCCTGTTACCGTGGGCTCGATCATTTCCCCCAGCGAAAACGATCCAGAATCATTGAAAATGGGAGCTACTGGAAACGACTTCCTCGTCTTCAGCTCCTCCACAGGGGACACTAGTTCTTCAGCGTTCGACAAAGAATTGTTCACAACGAGAGTAACCTGGCGAGCAACTCTATAGTTTGATAACTCTTATAGTTGTACATGATTTTGAGCTGAAGTGGTGTCCGAATTGGTAGTATCTCCCTCCTCAATAGACTTCTCTGATGGCATGAAAGTCGGCGTCGGTGTGGTAGTAGGCGCTGTAAATGCCGAGCTTATATCGTTGCCAGGATCCCCTTTGGGTGTAGACCCGCTGGTGAGAGTTGTCATACTAAAATAGCTCTCACTGATAGGGGACTACATTACTCATTGAGCACTACCACTAAGACGGTCGATTCGACACTGCTCTTAGAATTCTACACAGGCGAGCCAGAAGTGAAATGTCCATCGATTTCAATCAGGCCACTTCGCGAGCAGATGGATAGCCCTACTAGGATCGAGTTTAACATGTAGAGAAATGGTTTCTGGGAGACGTCAACAGATGGCAGTGATATGTTAAAGTGTTTCCTATTACTATAGATGTCCATACAACGTACAACGCCGCATCACGGTGAATGCACAGTGAACCATCATGGTGATATTTGGATAAAATATGGTTAAGTACAAGCAGGAACTTTATGAAAATTTTAAGGGTTAAAGGTTTGATCTAAGCGTCACAACACTGAAACATGCGCAACAAAATCGATCAGTCGGGCGAGCGCTAAATGAGACGAGCTCAGCGCTGTTCGAGCAGCTGCCTACGTAATCCCCATGTTCATTGAAACAATTCTGGAATTCAGAAGCGATTCTAGCATAGTATTATACGTGTAAAAAGCGTCCTTTGAATCGATTCTGAGTTTCGAAATCGGTTTATTGAACGACCCCAATGTCGACATGTAACGAGATTGAGCTAGATCTACTCTCTGCTCGACTACATTCGAAAAACAGCGAGAGAGTACTCTTTCTCATATCAGAAGCTTGATGCTAAGGTTGGGCTGTGAGCTTAGTGCTTAGTACACAAACCCTTATCGAGATGATATGTCTTCACCCTGTTCACTTTCGGCCTGCCAACAGTGTTACACTTTCTATGGTTGGATAGATAGCTCTACTCGATAACTCTGTTTTCGATTAGTATGATTTTCGAAGTATGGGGTCGATCAATAGACTAATCTCAGAATCTCTTCTCACATTTATAACGCGATGCTGGAGTCGACTCAGAATTCCAGAATTGATTTAATGGAGTTTCACGACCGTTTTTACGTGAAGTGGCGTAAAACTCTGTGAAAAACGCGATATTCAGTGCTCGTGAAATATATTTTTCATATCACGGGTGAAACTCCAATGAAGATGGGGTATGTCTTGATGCACCGGTACATTTTTGAGGGATGATTCTATAAATCAATCTCGAAACTCAGGAGCGATTCTCACACGTATATCACGGGGCTGGAGTCGAGTCGGTTCTGAATTCCAGAATTGAGTAAATGAGCATGGACTGTGTCTCGGTTGCTGATGTACCGTGAAACTGTCGATGACCAGCTGCATGAAAGAAAAGATATGAAAAAAATGTTTGCAACCGTTAGCCCTCCATCCTTTGCGTTTGCATTGCCTCCGAGGCAGTCGGCATCATACTCATGCAAGGTGTGGTATGCACTCAGGAGGGGACAGCCTTGAACATGGCGTTATCATCGTGTACAGCATGGTGATAGGGTTGCCAGCTGAGATATGAAGGTGAGAGTAACACAGTGATGGGGAAAAACAGATAGGAGGTCAGCTAGTTGGTGGCAAGTAGTCGTTGAGGCATTGCGAGTACGTTGATTTTGTATGATTGACATTTTCTCATTAAAATTACCACTACTGTTGGTTTGTGTTCATAGTGCTGTAACGCAGTGGGTAGTAGTGCAGTTTCGGAGGGTCATCGTGTATAAGTTTCAACAGTACATTCAGTTCAGCATTTGAGAATTAAAGATTCTCCGATGTCAATGACGTTGAAAACTCCGATACGTTGTTTTCAACAGAGCCGATAAGACTACCCTAATGTGTTTGCCTTGTCCATTACAGATTAATCATCATCATCTATGGCTCTTCCTCAGCTCTCGGTCATCGTAGCTCACACGTGCAAGTGGGGAATAGGTATAACATATATCCCCCCTAGATTTGAGTACTCTATCATCAGGGAAGGATGGTCAACTGCCTTGGAAGTCTCTACCAGAAGATATGAAGCGTTTCAAGAAAATCACGACGGGCGGGCACTGTAACGATAATGTGAAGAATGTGTGCATTATGGGAAGAAAAACGTGGGAGTCTATTCCAGAGAGGTTCAGGCCCCTTAGGGACCGTATTAACGTTGTGATCTCCTCAACTACGTAGGTGCGGAATTTAGTTCTACCCGAGAGCTTTTTCGTAGGTCACCAACTGACTACCCCCCAGGCGTTAGAATATGTCCATCATTGCTAGACTCCTTAGCATCGTTGCAACAAGGCGAAGTAGAAATTGGCGAAATATTTGTGATTGGTAGCTGAGGAGTGGTATTGGCTTTGGGAGTATGCTGTTGTTCAGGTGGAGCCTCCTTGATAACAGAGGCGATGCAACTACCACAGTGTGAGTCTTGGCTTCCTTCCTATGCTGTGTGAATGTGTCGTAATAGGCCGTACGCTGTACACGACTAGAGTGGGGACCGACCCGTGGGAGTGTGATGTCTTTATGGAGAAAATCGATGAGAAAATCTGGTGGGAGATATGTCTACTCGGTGTTGGAGGAATATATGTTCGCTTCCTCAGCTGAGCTCAGGAGTTTCCTATACAGTGTTGGAGGAATATATGTTCGCTTTCCACAGCTGAGCTCAGGAGTTTCCTGTACAGTGTTGGAGGAATATATGTTCGCTTTCCTCAGCTGAGCTCAGAAGTTTTCTCACTAATTATAGGAGTTTATATACGAATTCGGGTAGAAGTGTACAGAAACCAATAAGAATTTCACCAGGATTTTCCTAGTTGACCATGAACATATTTTTCTCCCCATACTGCGTCTGTTTGCATAGGGAGCCTATTGCCGTGTCGAGGACTTTCCGTCACAGCGATATTCCCTACGACTTTGTTGATTACAAGAGGCGTGAAGGCTCTGACAAAACTGAGGTGAGCTCTTATACTATAATTGATCTTGTCCTTTTTTCTCGGCTGCCAGTTGTCTCTAGCGGAGCGCTGCCCTAGAGGGAAATTCCAGCACGGGGAGTATGAGTACTTGAGGCTTATCGAGGAAATCATTGAGAATGGGGAGGATGCTGATGATAGGACTGGCGTTGGTAATGGTTTAGTTTCAGCGTGTTGAAGGGTAGAGGTCCATTTGTAGGTACAAAGACAATATTTTCATGCCATATGCGGTTTTCCCTAAGAGATGGAGTTTTCCCGTTGCTCACTACCAAGCGTGTGTTCTGGCGTGGAGTAGTGGAGGAGCTCCTTTGGTTCATCAGAGGAGATACTAATGCGAAACATCTCAGTGATCAAGGCGTTAAGGTGGGCGGCGATTGAGCCTTTTGGGTCGTTTTAACCCGTGCTAAAACGTTCAATGGTCGGCTTGAGTGGCGCTGTTTGGGCAGATTTGGGATCTGAATGGTACTAGGGAGTTCCTAGACGGCAGAGGCCTTACACACCGAGAGGAGGGTGATCTTGGACCTGTCTATGGCTTCCAGTGGAGGCATTTCGGTGCTGAGTAATACACATTCTAGTGACTGGCACGGGTAGTGTACTTGGGTAGCTACGTTGATATGCACGCTGACTACTCTAAGAGTGGCGGTGTGGACCAGCTGGCTGAGGTCATAAGGCAATTGAAAGAAAATCCGATGGATAGGAGAATAATTATGACTGCATGGAATCCCACTGGTAGGTTTTAGTGATACCACTCGTCTTTCACTTCTCATCTAGCTCTACCCCTCATGGCTCTGCCGCCGTGCCACATGATGTGCCAATTTTATGTCAACTCCAAGCAAGAGCTCTCATGTGCTATGTACCAACGCAGTGCAGATATGGGCCTTGGTAGGGTTGGAATTCTCAGAGGGTTGTGTACATCCTGTTGGCTCAGGTGTTCCCTTTAACATTGCCTCCTATGCACTACTAACTTGCATGCTAGCTCAGGTGGTGGGCTCTCCTTCTAGTAGGAGAAGGTTAGCTTTTGCTCACAGGTGTGTGGTTTGAAGCCTGGGGAGTTCTGTCATCATCTTGGAAATACTCATGTCTATAACAATCATATAGAGCCACTACGACAACAGTTGAAGTAGTGATAGTGCCTCTGGAGTTTCGCAAGTGGCTCTGTGGTGGTAGGCGAACGCCGAGACCGTTCCCTTTACTGAAGATCAATCCTAATGTGAAGACGATTGACGATATCAAGTCCTCTGACTTCGAGCTCATAGGGTACAACCCGTGGGGAAAGATTGCAATGGAGATGGCAGTGTAAGCGTACTCATTATGAAGTTAACAATTAAAAGCTACTGCAGCATCTTGAGTATCTCTGGTAATTCTCGTACTTGTGTTATCGCAGTTCACGCCAGTGTTGTGGGTATAAACGTTTGGGTGAAAAAATCCGTTCCGCTCTATTCTCGATACTAGAGTGACTTTTCTATCACTCGTTGCCCTTCGAGCGAAGATCAGAATGATGTGATGTGTACTGAAATTTAATAATTGGATTTTGTCTGCTTCGCTCCGCTGAGCTTGTATCGTTTCTTTTCTAATATGCTTCATAGTGAAGACAACAACGGCGGCAATCCGTTACGTTCTATCGGTGTAGATGATGATGTCTATACGGGAGAGTTAAAAGAGGATATCAAGGACGTGGCAAGAGCCGTGTTGAAGGGTGATAGGGATATCACCAAGGTAAATCCAAATTTACGGTATGATCATTTTTACGCAGTGTGGGAAATTTTGGGAAATTCTTATTGGCTTCTGTACACTCCTAATCGAATCAGTTTGCGAGGAAATGCTGAGCTCAGCTGAACAGCTCTGCGAGCATATATACCTCCAACACTTTCTTTACGAAGTAAACTCGCTCAAGTACTACTGTGCTTAGCTCCGATCGTTCTACTGGCCGCGGTTTTTGCGGACAGTAGTGGAAGCCTCGGACTGTGAGGGTAATCGGAAACACTACCGCGCGTTGTCGTCCAAGCATCAGCCTAAGAGTGGCGGTCTGCTGACCACACAGTTCAAGGGCATGGACCCCAACGTAGGCTTGGTGCTCTCCACGGCTGAGTAGAGCGGGATGAATGACAGGTTTGCAATCCTCTGTCGAAGGCATCAGAGAACCCATGGAATCAAGAGCATAAGAAAACAGACATTCTCAACGAGATCTGGGTGGACGTTTCTCGTAGGTGACGCTGTGAAGCTATACGCATTTGCTGTGTAGGCACTAACTATAGTAATAGGGAGTGGTTCAGTATAGAGGACAATCAGAGGAGTATGCAGAGAATACTATATGTAATAGTGGGAAGAGTCTGCAAGGCTTTAGTGAAACGCTTACTCGTCGAACGTTGTGGAGTTTCACCAGGGATTTCGCACTCGATTTCTTACGGTGGGGTTCATCACTACATTGGAGTTCACCCGTGAAATTGATTTTCTATCCGACAACTTAATGAAAAGTCCAACTGCAAGGGTAGCGATATAAGCGCTTTAATCAAGGCATGGGAACTTAACTACACTTACCCATAGCATACATAAACAGTAGTATTGCTCGGCCAACATATCACGTCTATGTGCTGTGAAGAGCATTATATGAAAAACACTAGTGAAAATTATATTCCACGGCTACTGCATATCACCGTGAATATCGGTTTTTTAACCACTTCACGAAAAAACGGGTGAAACTCCTTTGGTTTACTTGAAACCCCGCTCCGAATCCAAAAACAATACGTTTGCAAGTACCCTATGTATCCTCGGATTGAACGGTTACCGTATTGAGTGATTCGGCTTCATCTAAACTCTTTGATGGTAGAATTCAGGTGTGGTGTAAAGAGCGTAATAAGGACTATCGCCAAGGCATGAGCGACATCGCTACTGTATTGTTGTAAGCAGTAGTACCATCCGTAGAGTACTACTACCACAACCACAGGTACGGCCTAGTTGGTGATGATACCGACAACTGTATTGGACGGCATGGGCTGGCGGATGGTGAAGCAGATGCTTTCATGTTGTTCGATACAGTCATGTCTGGCACTATACAGCATGCTGAGATGTTCTATTCGGAATCGACAGGTGATAGATACTTAATGTAAGTTGTTATGGTTGTTGCTCAGGGAATGGTAACACTCTGTTGCCGTCGCAAAGTCAACCGAAGTCGAAGATTTTAAAGAGGTGTGAATACGTGTTCGATAAACTGTTGCCTCAAGCTGACGAGGACCTCAGTAACCACCTTCATAAGTATGCATACCGAGGAATTGAATAATGAGCATACCGTAACTTTCTCAGCTCGGCTAAGATTGCACCGTCCCTCTTCTTGATGCGGTGGATACGCCTCATATTTGCTCGAGAGATGCACGTTGTAGAAGTCCTACGGGTAGTGGGTTGGGCTCAATCAGCACCTGGTGCTCGCCCTCGAAGTGTACAGAAACTAACAGAATTTCTCAAATTTTTTTCCGACAATTTTCATACTGTCACCAACACATGTAACCGTCCATGTGCATATCTTTCTACATTGAGTACACTAGCATCGGATAATACGATCTGGATAATCTCAAATTTTCGTTCCCTCTTGAAAATTAGGGAAGTCACAGTCGAAAGTATGCATATTCAACTGCCTAGAGTGGGATTTCGGAGTTTGTCCAGAAGGAACTAAGGCAAAGTAGTGGTTGTGTATTCGGCTGACATGCTCTCTACGCAACGTAATGAGATGGCGATAAACTAGCAGAATCGTCTTTCGCTGAGCAACGAGCCGGGCGTGTATCATTATGAATAATACGACGAGACCCGGGACATTGATTTCTGATATTTTAGTATTCTTGGGAATCGTGAAGGATTTAATCAACAGCTTCATTATCACCAAATTCGCAACGTTTTTCGTGATTTCTCAAACACACTAGTGTATTCCGGTTGCCCTCAGCTATGGGACTTCATATTCGCCGACTCCTACCTACATTGGTCGGCGACTGGTGAGCTCTCGATGCCCTTAGTAGACTTTATGGCCGTCTCCATGATTCTACAAGTCAGAAGTAAGGCAATTACCAAGGGTGGTTATGTTTGCTCAAGCTCCCAGCAGGTACCCTTATCAATGGAGATAATACAGCGTGCTTGCAGCGCCTTATGCGGTAGAGGCTCGCTGCTTGGGTGTTCGGCCTTAGTGTGTTTCAGGTACCCACCGGTCGACTGCGTGGAGCCTCTGGTTGGTAGAGCTCTGCGATTACGAGACGGCGATGCTGCTCTTAGTCCCCGAATAGTGTGTGATGATACCGTTGAAGATGATGAAAAGGTTCTGACGATGACTATGGAGGTAGCTGGGTCCAGTGATGGAATATACGGAAGTTCGGGAGTTTCCAAAGCTACGTTGTGGATATTTACACACGAGTTAAGACCATCAAAATTTTTTCCCAGAATTTTCTCCGAACCTTCATATTGTCATCATCCATGTGCGTAATTTCCCACACTTGTTGTCTCCGATTTGCTATCTTGATGAACCGCGTGTTCAGGGAAAGAGTAAGCTCGCACCACAATTGCAAGTGAGCCCCGAGGAGCCCCTTCAACGAGCACCTCAGATTGACCCTCTTATGGTTGGTTTCCCATTGGAAACACGCTATGATGCCATGATCGTTGATCAGGGCGAACACACATCTCTGTCGTCTCTGTTCGGCACAGTGGTTCATACAGCAGTGGGTGCATTATCAACAGCTATTACGGAAGGTCGAGCTCTGCCGCAGTCGTATGCTAATAAGTCGAACACAGCAGAGCAGGCGGGTAGCCCGACCGTGGTGCCCCCCGAGCAAGTGAGCTTCACACTAGCAACTTGTGGTTGATGCGGTGTGATGCAGATTCGAATGCCTCGGGATCTCGCTGACTCGTGGGATGATGAGACAGTTGCTGTTGAGCACGATAAAGGCAGCGATGAGGAACTATCCATAGAGGTATCGGTCTCGGGCAGAGTGACAAGTTGACTACTTGTGTGTGGCTGTGGATAAACATAAGCTTGCTAAAACTCCCGTTCAGCTCACGGTTTCATTCAGTGTGATCAGAATCTGATTGAACGAGTTATGTGGCTATAGCATTGTATGGGTCAGTTGCGTTATTTGTTCCAATATCGCCTTTTTGACTTTTTCGAAATGGGAGTTGTGAGCCAAAAATTGCCTTACTTTTTGGATAGAGTTGCGATAGCCGGTCGATCCTATGGTTGTCGCCAAGAACTCGTTGGATGTTGAGGTTGATCTCAGGTCAACAGCTCCGAACTGGCGAAGTGGCAACGGGCGCTTGATACAGCTATAGTGTCTCTGAGCAGCAATACTGATCCCCACACACGGGAAAGTGCTGTAGATGTATTACGTGATATATCAGCTAGCATAGGCCAGGTTCGGCGACAACTGCCTTCTGAAAAATGATCGAGATAAGTTTCTATGTAGAATGGAGGTGTTGACTTTGCAGTTTTATGTTTGGTTTGATTTGGTGCTTGTGACGGGCGGAGCTGTTCGCTTTTGGAAGTCAGCAAGGCTCGCATCGAACTCACTTTGGGGGGTGTGAGGAAGAGGGCTGGTTTTCTTCTACAAGGTGGTTGATCCCCCGTGACCGGCCGTCTAAGGCAGACCAGAGCAGAGGTGAACAACTACCTCTCGCTAGACCTGGGCTCAATGAAAGAGGAAAGCTAGGAAAAATCTTGTACAGAGACCCGAGTTTAGCCCGTGTTCTTTGTAGAGGCTGGCACACTTTGGACATATTCACATGAAACGGGCGAGTCCTCGACCGCCCAGTGCTGGGAGATCCGCACTACCCCGATGTGGGCAGGAACTCTCCGGCGAGATTTCACCTATTGTATCAATCACTGCGGTGCAGTTTTTCCTCCGCTTTAAGGCCTTATCAAAGATGATTCTCATCTAATCCCGCTAGGTCCACGGCTGTGATGCGTGTTTGATCGCCTCTTACATCTGAGCTCCATTGATACTCAAGCGTTAGACAGATCCTGCTGTAGCCCTCTTGATATAAGGGTGATGCTTACAATTGGAAAGACTGATCGAGCAACAGCTTTTCAGAGGGGAGCACTCGCGTTGCAGCTTCGACTTGCTCGAACTCGGGGACAACCGGTAAGGCGACTCGACCCTTGAAGATGGGGTCACAAATAGCTCGTATGAGTGGGGCATCAGAAGATGGGGTACGAGAGGATGTATGAAATGATGTAGCGTCATACCCCATAATTTGGGGTATGACGCTATGTGCTAGAATTAACAGTGCCCCTCTTCCACTCTGACTGCCCTAATTGTACTTTTATTGTACATGTTGGTAAGATACAAACATATATGAACAACGATCCAGCAACTTTTGTACCAATCCACTTACACGTGAGCAACGGTCACGAATATGACCGTTTCACTTTAGTGTATGGTAGCTCATTTCTGTATCTATGCCTTGTTAAAGTTTCAGCCTAAATCATTACTGAGTTAGCGTGAAATGCTAAATTTTCGAAATTGCCCACGAAAAAATACGCTCCTTAAAAATGGGCACAAGTCCGATCGTACACGTTTGACTACTATCAGCATGTCACGGGATTATGATTTGCTGCAAATCACAGTTTACTTGCCAGGGAGTTATCAGATGCAGCACCTGTATAACTTCCTGCACCTGTGTGAGAGTTCGCACTGATATAATGTTCAGCGCCCGTTTCATTTTTCGCACCTGTATAAGAGGTTCGGTCTTCCGGCTACAGCTACCAACTTCGACGATTCGCTGATGCGTGCTCACGCGTTTCGATGTCTTGAGTTCCATGGGACGGTCGCACACGTATCTTGCGCGCATGTGTGTGGAGATTGTGTGCTCGGCGCAGTGCGTTCCAGTTTTACATAGTCTCTCATTACTGAGGCGATTTCACTGCCGCAACGCTTCGCTATGCTCCCAAATTAGTTGTGGGTGCGGTAATGACCGTTTCATTTGGCGCACTACGAAAGATTCTTGGCGACAGGTACGGTAGAGATCATGGTCCGGCTGCTGATCCATGGCTTTCGCTTGTGGCTCTTGGAACTTCGTCGTTAGTAGCGTTACCTCGGGCTGCGGCTGTTAACGTTATACTCACCCCTCCCTTCCATGTCACGGTGGAGATGATGCTGGAGCTTGCTAGTAGCTCCGCAACTCGCGATCGTCTCGCAGTACAGGCTTATAGATCTCATTACAGCCTACAGCCCTATCCCGGGACCGGACGTCAGTGACCGACGGTCGGTCTACCACCTCCGCCGAGATAGTCTCCGGCTCCTGGTTTGCGGGCTGCCGGTTTGAAGTTTGGTGTTTCGGTCTGGCCTTCTGCTGCGCTCACCGGAACTCCGTAGGTGTAGGAGATGTGCGGCTTCCCCAACTAAAATGAATTCACTCGATCCCTACTTTATGTAGGCTACAATCAAATGTGAATACTTACCCATATAAGAGCCTGGTAACCTTTCCCGTAATCTAGAGAGTCAATCTGACTACATTGATATCATGAGTAAACTCTGCTTGGCCGGTTTTAGTTGTCATTTCTGATTCATGGCGGGACTCGCTCTCATTATCAGCATGGGTCTAACCCTCTTCCTCGGTCTTATCCCACCAGTTGAGGGTGAATTGGTTTATTCGATCAACCGTGATGGAATTTGGTGGTGTGGAGGAGCAGCTGTGGGGTATCCTCCGACTATGATTGTTTACAATGATTCTAATGTTGATGGCGTAAGTCCGAAACGGTGGGTATTTACTCCTACTGAGAGCTTCTCAGGCTTGCTTCGGGTATCTTCGCTTTGTAACTTACTCCGACGCGGAAGCGGAGGATCTTTTCAAAGCATGCCAGTAAGAATCGCTCACAGTATGGGGGTCGTTAAGATGTGTGCATCAGGAGGCCAGCCCTCGGAGGGGGAAACTCGAGTTTCCATGGAGTAATGGGGAAGTTGGTCCATCTCCACGTTCAACCAGAGTACAAAGAAACGGATATTCCTTCCCAGTTGTTGAAGCATACTATTGATTATGTAAGGATGCACCTGTCGCATTTGGAGAAATTCTCAATAATGCAGAATAAATTCTAATAATCAACTATCGACTGTTGATGAAATTTCGAGAAATTCTTGTTGGTTTCTGTACACCTGAAAGCGCATGTAAACTTCTATAGTTAGTGAGAAAACGCCCGAGTTCATCGATGGGCAGAGTTACGTTACGGACCGCTGCGGCTCACTTTTACGGTTACGCTTCGATCCACGTACCGTAAAGCTACGGCTCCGTAACGGGTCTTACGGAGATGCAATGGACAAAACGAGGATTGACCATTCAAGTCGCCTAAATCTATCCCACTTGAACGCGCGTGCATAGAAGAGGCCGCCTAGGCAGTTTCGGGCCAGCCTGGGAGTAAGACGGACGGAATATCAAATGGAGGCGACTGGTCAATACGAAACTAAATGTTACGCTCTCAGCAGTTCGGTTGAATCCGAGCCACCAGAAATGAGTTTAACAACTATTTGTGCTATGGTAGAGTGCCTTACAGCGGATGTTTCCGCCACAATTCCATGAAGGCAGTTCATCACCAACCATAAAGTCGTGAACCCTTTCCGTAACCGTAAGCTACTCACGTTACGCACACCGTAACGTCAACCGTAGAAGAACGTTACGCTGTCCATTTATACGGGAGTTCAGCTGAGGGAAGCGAGCATGTATTCCAGCTCTGATTTTCACAGATTCGTACCGGCAACGCTACCTCGGCTCGTGCCGTTCATGCTGCTATCAATCCCAAGGATTCCATCATCAAGAAAGCGCACGCAAACGCAGGATTTGAATTCATCAAGAGTAAGTATACTGTTACGACGTGTTCATCCAAAAGTGATTTGTATTTCAGTTGATTGGCTTTATGATATGTACTGTTATTTTTACACTTAATTTTGGGTCATGGGAGAGAAGTCACTATATTTTTCTGCGTCACGCAGTACTTCCATATCCCTTCTGATTCAATCTTGTTCACCAGACGTTTTACGTATCGTCTTCACTTTTCGAGCGAATGTGTCGACTTTCGTTTGGCGACCGTATGTGTGTGCTGGACACAAACTGTCACATGAATAAAGTTGCCGCATTGTAGTTCGAACCTCTCATGCAGAATTCTGGCTTGCTTGGGGTAGAATGGGGAATGCTTCGTATAAGATAGGTTGAAAACGATAAGCACAGGAGATTTGAGCATGCAATCAACTTTCCTACTTCTCACGATCCTCGTCAGTGCTTCAGCTGAGTATACCGCTGTCGAGGTCGAAATGCTGTTCCAAGCCTACAAGGAGAAGTGAGCATCGATTTCAGTCAAATTAGTCATGTGAGAACTATTCTCAGGTACCGTCACGATTTCGGAGTTGAGGATTCGTATCGTAAAGCCGTGTTTGAATCTAATCTGCGTTTTGCAGAAATGATGAACAAGAAAGGCATGAATGAAATAGCCCTGTATGGCAGCTGATAATTTTCCATCTCAGGCCTCTCATACGAGCTTGGGATAACTCCCTTCTCACATCTCACTAATTCCGAGTTCAAAGCGACTATGACGGGAAAGCTCCTCGGCACTGCGCAGTCAGCTTCGAGGAACTACAGTAATGTTGAATTGAATATAAGCTGAAGAGCGAGTCATCCACAGCTCCACAAACTTCAATTATTCTCTTGTCAGCCGCCACCAGCAGGACTACCTATCAGTACGATGGAGCTTTCGAAGATCTACCACGCTCAGTCGACTATGTCAAGCAAGGCCGAGTAACCAAGGTGAAGAATCAGGGGGAGTGCGGAAGCTGTTGGGCTTTCTCGACCGTTGGTGAGATCGATCCAGTCACCATCATGTTATGGACGGTTGTGCAGGGGCACTGGAAGGTCTGTACAAAGAAGTAACTGGCAAGCTTGTAGATCTATCAGAGCAACAATTGATGGATTGCAGTAAGGAGTATGGAAATGAGTGAGCAGAGTTTCTTGAGTCTGTAGGCGACATGATAGTATCTTTCTTCAGGGGATGCGGGGGTGGTAACATGGATAGGGCTTATGAATACGTGGAAGATCACGGTATCAAGTTGAATGCGACTTATCCATACAAAGCACACGACCAGCTATGTGCAAATGTTGGGACTCAGGAAGCATTCCTGGTGAGTTGAATTCCAATCTCTCCCTCTGCATAATATCGAATCTCCCCGTTTCAGCCTTTTAATGTAAGATTTGGACGTGTCAAGGGGTCTTATTCTTCTGTCTTGGGGGCTATAGCTCACATGGGACCGTTAAGTGTCGCTGTCGAAGCAGATTCAAAGACATTCCAGTTGTATAAAAAAGGTGTTATAAAGGGTAAGTTTCCTATCACTTATGGACCACTCTATTTGGCTAGAGTGAGCCGATACGCTAGTTTTCTTCAGGAAATTGCGGGGTCGTCTTGAACCATGGAGTTGTCGCAGTAGGGTATGATCTTGATGCGCATGATCCGTGAGTTGCATTCCCCTCCGCGTGATTCACAACATGGGCTTTCAAAGTCAGGATTTAGTACGTTTCCTTCAGTTATTACCTCGTCAAAAACTCCTGGGGCACTGACTGGGGTGAACACGGATATGTCAAGATAGGAATCGATCATTCACAATTCGGTGGGTCAAGCGCATTGTGGATTCTGGTTTGACTGATGAAGTTAAATCTCAGGAATTTGTGGAATCTTGAAAGATGTGACGTTTCCGGTGAGTGCGAGTTACCAGTGAAGCCAAGGTGTCTACAGCGTTTAGGTTTATTTAGTTGGTTTTTGAATGCGAGTAAACCATATTTTTCGAACTCAAGTCACAAAAGTGATGTAACATCACTGATGTTTCGATATGATGACTAACATCGCTTCATTTGCTACTTACATCATGTCCTCACCACTTACACAAACTTTTATAGATTTCATTACATGGCAAGTTGCAATAGTGTTGGACAAGTGTTGAGGAATGGTTCTGTTCTAACGCTCCCAGAGAGAGCCCGAGAGACCAAAATAGCGGGGGTCAGAGGCACTTGATAAACGTACAGTACGCGCCATCTAAACCGGCAATCCTTGTTAGATCGTTTTTCCTTCCGATACATTGAGTTTTGAGCTAATTTCTTCGCCAAACATCTTAGATATACCTCTCATGCTGAAATCCAAGTCGCGCACTTCAAATTCGAAAAAATCGAGCCCTTTTTTCGATTTCCTGCGCGCATCTCCTGCGGCGCCTCTGTGGACAGCAAGAATCAGAGCAAGACGTACTTTTCAACTACGTCCCTTCGGCAATCATAGAGAGAGAAACTACTGACTATACAACACTGCTGTGACTTAATTAAATCGAAGGCGATCATACTTGCCACTTGTATTTGCTCTAGCCGGCCCACTAACTACAGGCGCTGGCCCCCGATGCTTTCGACAATCTCTTGCACGGTAAGGACCTTACTAGAGTAACGTAAGTACTTCCTGGGTAATCGGAAGTGCTTACGTGTGAGCTCGAAAATGAGATCGGCCGGCTGCTGGTTCACCGCAACCCTTTCTTCGAGACCAGCAGTAGACTTGGTTGAGTTTGTAACTCTCATGGCCTTGGCGATCGACCAGTACGCGACTTCGGTAGGAGCCAGTTCAGGATGAAACTTGACACCGTAAATAACCCGATCACCCCGTTCCACAGCCTGCTCCTGGAGGAGAGTTTGCTGTCCCGTGGAGTCCTCGCACTTGAGGAGTATCTCAACAAGCGCATCCTGTTTTTGCCGATAGCAGGATCAGAGCCAAGAGACCTTTAAGCTGTTGTGAATAGGCGGGAAAACTATTTCCTGCTCGATACGTTTCCCGCTATTCGTAAACCAACCAGGCCGCATTACGGCTGCTTCCCGCCAGGTTTGACATTTATTGCTTTCGCATTGAGGGCGTCATCGGCGTATGTATTCGAAGAAAAAACGATCTGACAAGGATTGCTCGATTTAGATGGCGCGTACTGTACTTATCAAACAGGGCTTAGAGAATAGTGGGGCTGTCGAGCAATGATCCAATCGTCTCGAGCCGTGCGATGATACTCGAACGAACCAGGGTTCTTTCGAAACGAGACCTTTGCCCCACAGTGAACAGTTTTCATCCCCAGATCCAAATGCTGCGCCCAAGTGACCTTTCTAACACGACAACAACTCGATTCAATGACCAATCGAATGAGATCGATAAGGTATAATGCTTCTAGTGTCCCCCTCAGTAACGTGGTGATCGCGAGCGACTCCGAGTCCTGACCGAGGAAAAACGTCTTCCACTATCATCTCGACCACTAGGGACTTGCCTTAATCTTCGATCCTTGACACCCGACTCTTGCTCTCGCCTGAGAGACCAACATAGTGAAAGCCACAGGCACAATGATGAACGTATCATTCTTTGAGAGCCACACAGCTACGACTCACGATAAAGATACGACCCAAATCGTCACCACCCCTACGCTCGTAATACCCTACTCTTTTGCCAGCATCTTGTTCATGTCCCTCACGATTAATACCTCCTGTCACCAAAGATATCAATCTCACAACACTCAATGTTTACCTTGATCAGAGACCGACGTTCCCAGGGCCCGAGTTGCCGCCATCATCGCCGCTTTAGCTGCTGATTCTGCTGCTTGTCGATCAGCTAGAGGGTCGTATCTTCACTTAGACTCCTCACAATGCACGACGCGATCATCCTTACCTATGCCTCTTATGCTTGCTCTTCTTTTTCTTCCGCCCGAACTCATCCAACGACTCGTTATCAGAGTCATGCCTCTCTCGGTCTGTGGGATCCTGCCTATCGTAATGGCCTCCACTCTGGCCCTCCCGACTCTCCTGAACAACAGGCCAACGTCAAAAGCGCTCGCCCGAAGGATATGTCAGAGCTCACTTGCAGTTGCGGTTGCAACGAGTTGCACATATTGCATCTCTCTCGCCAGTCCCAGTTCACATTGCCACATCCCGTACACACCCAATCACCTACGGGATGCATCAGGGAGGCTCGCCGGAGCACCCAAACTAACCTTTCTTGAACAGTCCAGGAGGGCCACCAAGACTCGGTGTTTCCGGCTGTACGACCTACCCAACACAGAGAGTCCATCGCCATAAACAATATCATTGCTTCATGGAGTCTATCATCACAATAAGCCCTATTTAAATCATGCCCATTAGAGCAAATTCAATTTTTCCTTTTGTTGCTTGCAACCGTTCAACGGTCACCATCCGAGTGCCCACGACTAGAAGTGTACACGGTATATATTGATATAGATTTTATATATAGCCTCTCCTATTATAATAATTATTGCTATGAATAAATATGCCATGTTATATAATAAGGAATATCGTGTAATATGATATAGAGGGATAAATATAGATTATTTTAATCTATCTGGTATTATAATGATGCATACCTCCTAGATATACTTATATAATAAATATGAGGGCATGGATATATTGATAGGTAATATTTTTAAACGAGTACACTATAACTCCTTCAGCGAGCTGTCCTTGAGAAAGGCTATGATGGATTCCAACACCGAAAATTTCCCGTAGCAAGTCGTATACATAAGACGCTCTAATTTGGTGCACTTACCGGTTTTGGTGTATCACACCTGTTGCACCTCGTTCGTTTTTCATAGTTCCAATGTCGACATGTTACATTAGGGCACTGCCAGTCATTCGGCCGACCCGAAGGTGCTCTGAAACGTCACGCGCCATAAAATTAAAGCTGGCTATGAACTTGCTTACTTCTTCACCTGCTGCTGTGCCTGCAGCATCTGCTGTACTTGAGCGTGAGTATAGCCCGGCGGTGGGGGACAAGACACGCCCTGTGGGTTCATGATGACAACAATAATAGGAAACTGACATGAAATAGCCAAAGACACTCCCACGGAAGTCCACAACATCCAACCGACTGAAAAAATGTACAGGAAATGAACATGGGAATATGCACGAGCCATGCAGCATGACTCAGTGTCGCTCGAAATGCATCCTAACTCCACCAGAGAAAGTATCGGGACGATAGATACCCTGTCTTTGAGAGAGGCAGAGCCACGAGGACGCCCTGATCCTCCTCCCTCGAAACCACGCATGTCGGTGAAAATTTCCAGAAGGCATCTGGAGAGGATCGACGGGAGCATCTGAGGACGGTCTTGTCGACCATCGGACGATAACGAGGCTACTGGCAGGGCATTTCTGTAAGAGAGCAACGATCCGATGGATGAGGCTCGATTCACGAGACTCACGAAAATACCTCATTGGGGGTGTACTCTGTCGACAGCATCAATGACAGCCATCGAGTTGATCCTTTCTGCGACGCAGTCGTTGGAGTGGGTCACGCGTTAACTCCTTTATTCATGAACGTAAACGTATCACTCACCTTCACGTTGAAGACCAAGCCTCGCAGCTGAAGCATGAATCCAGGATGATCGTTATCACAGGAATCATCATTATAAGGAGAGGACCCCAGCACAACACGTTTCAGGGGAAAATGACAAGGTATGGCCGAATCCTCAATTAGCGAACAGCATGAGTTCGAAACCGATTCACCATAGCCAGATGCTTCACATCTACCACTCCCGACTCTGCCGCCAACTCTTGAATGCGTCTGCTAAACTACTGAGCATATCCCAACACTGTAATCGATCACCTGTACACTCTCAAAGCCACCGGTCCGAATCGGTGTCGAAGGTCTGTCAGCGTCAGCAGCAATAGGTCATTCAAGATCACCTCCGGTCCGAAATGCAAACTTCTGATGCCCATCTTATCCAACTCGTTATTAATCTCGATAACAGCCGAAAATTCTGTTATAGGGCGCTGAACTCGGCAGGGGCAAACTCCTACGTTTTTCTCTGCTCGATGCTAGTGCGCACTCCGGAAAGTTCAATGAAGCTGAACGGGACCGCCCTCATGAAAAGAAAATTCAGCTCCTCACCTTCCTTGAAAGTCTTCAGCTGCTCCCCCGCCATCTCCGCCAGACTAGAGTGATGAAAAGGCTTCGCTGGGCCGACAACAGCACACGTTTGAAGCGAATCGACGAACTCCTGAGGCGACTATCAAATCAGTGTCGGGAAGTTGCAAATACTGTGTGAATCGTCTCCAACGGCAAGTCATTGTCATCATCCCCGAATGGGTTTTCCAACTCTACCGCAATCTCATTGAGGCCCCAATAGCCGAGGAGGCAGAAGAATGAGAGGATCGGCGACAGGACAGTACCTGAGGTGGACTACGCTACTGACACTCTATCGAGTTCACGAGGGAGGGGGTATAACAGGTGACCACCTTCCGTCATCTTGACAACCATAATAGGGCACATGAAAAGGAAGATGAGCAGCAAAAGGGAGACCATCTGGGCGAATGGGAACGGGAACGGCACTTGCGAGACCTGTGTAAAGAACCTGTGAGTTTCACACAGTGTAATGATCGCTTCCCTCAGCTGAGCCAAGGAGTTTCATCACCAATTATAAAACGTTATATACAAACTCGGATACAAATGTACAGGAACTGATAAAAATTTCACCAACATTTCTCAACAATTCTCATATTGCCATCAACACATGTAGTCGCCCATGTGCTTATTTCCCTCATTTCACTTTGAGTGCCTGATTATATCCCAGCATCCCAGTGGAGATTTCCTGATAACACCGCGACACTATAGGAGGAGGAACCTTACACGACGAGCTCCCAAGCACAGAGGAAAGACCAAAACCTACCTTGATGAGGCCTCGAACGACCAGCCTCGTGAGAGCTTCTTGGATCCACAACGATATGATACAAGTCTTGTCGGGAAAGCATTCCAGCTGATTCACCTTCAAAAACAGGAAATATGAGAATAATGACATCGCCACCTCCAACACCTCCTCCTCAGAGCAGTGCCCGATGATGACCAAACGCCCAAGGCCAGCATCTTCCTTGTTGGAAGGAAACAAACGACTCTTGATTCGAGACACCACTGAGTAGACGCTCCTCAAGCAGCAGTTACACCATCATCAACTGACCACTCTCGACAGGCGAAATCGATAGCATTTCTTCCATATCCTTTTTAGTCACTTTCACTGCCTCATTCAAACGTCCAACGGCGACCCCAGCTCGAGAGGGGTGGATCGAACGGTGCTTGAAAGCTGTCCGCAAACCGCGTATCTACGAAATACGATTTGCGCTGATTCGTTCATATTTTTGCCAAGACCCAGGACAAGTTTCACTAGGCGTTTGCCACGGGGCTTTTTCTCAGCGCAGTAACGTGAACTCACATTTTTTCCGTTCAAATTCGCTATCGCAATAGCACTTAGGAGAGTAAACCAATGCAACGCCCTCGACCTCACATCCTCCAACTCTCCTCTCTGAGTGAAAACATATTCCTCGCGAGCCATCCATTTCCCAGCATAAGCAATAAACAGCGAATGGCTCTTCAAAACAGTTATAGTTAAGTCGGCGGTCAATTTCTGATTAAAAAACCGAACCGAAGTCGACCATGATCAAAGCCGAATGGACAACCCCATCACACTTCCTCTTCCGAACATGTACGAACTGTGACGTTGATAAAGCTGTTGATCTGCATGAAGGCATCGCCCCATTTGGAGATCATCAAGTGAACGTTTGTCACACCCTCCCAGTACCTACCACTAACATTATACAAAAACAATCATCATCAGAACTACTGCTTCAAAACGGATCGATTCCCGCTGACAACGATCATCTCTCCCATTACGAAGTTATCAGGATAGTTACTGGGTTATCGATAGTACCGATAACCCGATAGTATTGATAGTATAGTTATCGATAGTTATGAGGATAGTTATCAAAACAATCCTCACCTATTCAGCGCCATGTCCGTCCTAAACACTATAACGTAGCCGAGTATAATAGCGAATATCTGCACAGCAAAAGGATGTTTGATCGTCGGAGGGACGAAGGGAAGGACGTCGAATATAATACCTGACAGCAACTCCAGCTTCACACAAAGAAAAGCTTACCAGCCGCGAGAGCCGCTGACAGAATTGATGGCAAAAGCGTTCGAGGGAACACCGATCCCGTATAACGCAGTATAAGCAACAACGATGACTGTTTGTTGTCGTAGTCAATCATTCAACGCATACCATAAATCCAACAACTTTCAAAAACACTCCACAGGGGAGCCCGAAAACACCACATTAGTTTTCCACCAGAAATCGAACTCATGGTAAATGCCCAACAATACATTATCATCGTCATCCTCCTCCAACCGTGCCACCTCCGGACAACTCAGCAATACGCCTGAAAAAAAATGGCAGTATAGAAACCATAGGACTGTGCTGTCGTCGTCATCAATTGTGTTTTATATAAAAAAACACCAGTGAAAAATATATTTCACGACTACTGCATATCACCGCGAATATCACCTTTTCCGCAGAGTATTACGCCACTTCACATAAAACGGGTGAAACTTCATCAATGCACTTTGAATGATCATACTCATAATAACAATCATGCATTTAATACTCAACGTCCTCACTCACTCCGACAGATTCCACCTGTTATTCACGTTGACAAATATGAGTTTTCAATTCACAAGTTCACAACCTTGATTAGCCGGACCTGTGAACCCTGACCGCAACCTCAGCGCTGTTAAATCTTGTTCTCAATTCGCTTTTACTAAGCCTCGACAAATCAACGATTCCCAGCTGTTCCGAAAAGTAGCGTGACTCGGGCACGCCGAGAGCCTCCAATTCCTCATGAATTTTCTTCAATTCAGTACCTGCCAGAACACTCTCCCGAGTATACACAAATATTCATTTCCTACTCAACTCGTGTCTATCGTCGTTGAGGCCGGTCAGGTCTCCTGCGCAATCTCGAATGCCTTTTACAAAAACCTGATCACTCACATTTGGAGATTCCATCTCAGAACAGACTCCCTCTGAACAGCTCAATTAGCCGGTATCTATTACGTCGCCATTTGTGCCCACACTAGTCGCTTTAAAATATCATAAAATTCACCTCGCTGCTTCCGAAAGTCCATTGGAAATTCATAGTGTACCAAATGTATCGATGGTAAGATCAAAATCCTTAGCCCTCCATCTCACCAAAGATGCAAGTAAGCAAACGAACCCCAATAGCCGATTACATAGCACTACCGTATGAACTTGCTTTAACGGCAAGTCATTGTCATCATCCCCAAACGGATTTTCCAACTCTACCGCAATCTCATTAAGGCCCCAATAGCCGAGAAGGCAGAAGAATGAGAGGATCGGCGACAGGACAGTACCTGAGGTAGACCACGCTACTTCCGAGGAGGGGGTGTAGCAGGGAAATCCAAAACAGCTAAGTATACCTACTCTGAGTCATCCTCAACACCATCATTGGTAATATAAGCAGGAAAACCACCAACAGGGCGGCCACCATTTGAGCAAAGGGAAACGGGAAGGGCACCAAGCTGACCTATGCATGAATTTTGTGGCGCGCGGTATTGAGTTTGGGAAAGTGTGGGAAAATATGCACATAGTCAACTACATGTGTTGAAGACAATATGAAAATCCCGAGGAAATTCTGGGAAATTCCCATCAGTTTCTGCACACTTCTACCCTAATTCGTATATAAACTCCTATAATTAGTGAGGAAACTCCCGAGCTCAGCTGAGGAAAGCGAACATATATTCCTCCAACACTGTATAGGAAACTCCTGAGCTCAGCTGAGGAAAGCGAACATATATTCCTCCAACACTGTATAGGAAACTCCTGAGCTCAGCTAAGGAAAGCGAACATGTATTCCTCCAACACTGTATAGGAAACTCCTGAGCTCAGCTGAGGAAAGCAAACATATATTCCTCCAACACTGTATAGGAAAAAAGCTGAGCTCAGCTGAGGAAAGCGAACATATATTCCTCCAACACTGTATAGGAAACTTCTGAGCTCAGCTGAGGAAAGCGATCATATATTCCTCCAACACTGTATAGGAAACTTCTGAGCTCAGCTGAGGAAAGCGATCATATATTCCTCCAAGGCTACACCCCATCTTTCTATCCACCTTAAACGCCTGGTTATACCCCAGCATGCCATTAGACACCTCCTGATAACACCGAGAGAGAATCGGCGGAGGGATCTGATGCAAAGCGCGCTCGCCCGAAAATTCTCCCTGTTACCAGTAGAATGCCCTCCAAAGAGGCTCTGGTGATCTCTTCAGTGATCCAACCAGCAACCACCAGCGGCTTGTCGCTTCTATCAGCCAACGCCTTTTTCTATAACCACCATTTCAACAGAGACCAACCCCCCGAATTTCGTGGCGCGTGACGCTGATATTCACCCCGAATGTTATCACCTCTTCCTCCGTACACTCTCCCACAATGAGCAACTTCGTTGCTGATGAGTCATCCACAGAGCCTGTCATCAGATACCACTACGATTTCCAACCCAGAAATTCGCACCAGCTATACATAGACGAATATCTCGCTCGCCCGAAAATTCACAAACGTGTCAACTACTGATGAGAAAATCAAGAATTCGGTAACCGAATTTCGGTTCCCATTTAGTCTGCAAAAGTAGTGCACATTCCGGAACACCAAATACAACAACAATTTCATTTTTGCACAATAACTGTCTCCTCCCCTTACTATTACCTTCTGAGTCGAAACTAGTCGCCGATGTAGCCGGGGAGTGGTAGGCGTCCAAACCCTTACTACTCCCCAAACCACAATCCACAAGACTCTCCGTCAGATCCACCTACCACACTTCGCACACATCACAGTCTATAGACCCCAGCGAGCTCCTCTCAGCTGCTACCTCTCCCCCATTTAGGGACATCGTCGATACCGCGTTGAGCAAGCTGAACCAATGCACCATACGGTATTTGAATTTCTCGAGAAGCCTCGCCTGATCGTCGTCAAAACACTCTCCCACTAAGAGAGCACCAACCACCGTTTGCCTCATCCGAGGCAAACCTCAACAATGATACGAACAAGCTCCCACCTTCCTGGCGTCCACCTTCTCTCGAGAAACTGTGATAAAGCTGCATATCTCAACAAACGCATCACCCCATTTCGACACCATCTGCTGTACACTCGTCATTCCCTCTCGATACCTACAATAGCGCACAGATGAAAACCGAAGATGATCCAATAAGTCGCCCTAAGTAGACTATAATCGTTCAGAGCCTTATAAATGGGGTATTTTTTCCGTGGGCGAATTCGAAAACTCAGCGTTTTGCGTCGATCAAGTGTGTAGCACGCTGAGTCAAAATGTCTGCCTGAAACACACCTACTGTTCCAAGATAGAACATAGTGATTATATTCATAGAATAACGGTCATATGCCGTGAAGTTGATCATTGCGGAGCGAGCGGAGCATATACCGCAACAACAGGCACGTTTGCGTTGTGCGTGCGTGCAGAATTACTCTGACGTAACTACGAAGCGTGGGAGGCTATCAGATAACTCCCCAACGACTCCTTTATATGCGGAGGTTTTGAGAAAAAATCGAAAAACTCGATTATGCGAACAGCTCGAAGAGATATACACCAAAAACTTTAATGGCGGGAAAATGTCCTACCCGGGGATCGAACCGGGGACCTATGTCAAATTCATTGATCTAATCAATAGACGTGGGCTAAGTGAGCTCCGCCCCTTCGTTACGAAGGCCTAGTGTACAACGATAAACCAGAGATTACGGGGTTTGATTTTGGGCTCTCAAGCCTAACGAAGATTTAGACTCGGAAGTTGCCCGCACCGCAAGGATTCCCCATAACGCACGAAGTAATCAACTACGCATAACAACTTCAAATCGATATCCTAGATGTACTTCTATAGCATTTCCCATTACTACTACCTCCCCAACGCCATATTCGTACGAAATACAATAACGTAACCGAGGATAATCGCAAATATCTGCACCGAGAAAGGATGTTGGATTTCTGCAGGTATCCATTGTGATGCCACCTCGAATCCAAGGCCTAACATGACATCAATAAAGCCGTCACACTATCACCACACCGAAGTCGCCCATGCCAATGGCCCAATGGAACTCTTCCAACTACCCGCCATTGTATACTACCAAATGTTATCAAACCCGCAGTGAGCGCTGGAAGTAACGACCTCGGGAAGACTGATCCCGACAGCTGCAATATGAGCCGAATAGCTGACTGATCGTTATCATAGGTAATCATGCTTGGAAACTAGAACCACACTGTTGGGATAATAATAAGATCGATCCTCATCATACAAATACAGCGGCCTTTACTGTCTCGAAAACAACCACAGAAGCAGTCCATGCTCAGTGCTGTCTCCACCATAATAAAGTTAGTATCAACTGAGCTAAAAGAAATGCTCTCGCGAGTACGACAGATCAATGGATTGCTACCGGGGCGGTTACATGCTAGTACCAACAGGCGATAGTCTACTAATCTGATTATCATTACCGTGTACAACGACCATCGTCACTCGCCACGAAATTAGACACAAACTGATTGAATAGCTTTGATCGCAACGGATAGAGATGGCATAGTCTAGTCAAGAAATACACTCGGGGAAGAACAAAGGTAGAATATGAACAGAAAAAGATCGAAAAGGGCTGATGAGTTAACGAGAATATGTTAGTACTCCGTCCGTGCACGCACGCACAATGGCCTCCATAGCTGAACTGATGCCGACCGATACAGAAGGGTACCTATATAAAGAATATGCACAGCAATCGTCAATCAATATTGCGTGGATTGTTCGCGAATTCAAGCGATGATTCTCTTTCGAGCATAATAGCGCGGCCCCCTGTAATAAGCCCCTCGCAGCATAAGCACTATATCCGGAACTTTCCCACAGCTACACTTTGCTTAGTAATACTGAGTCTGAGATATGGAATCCATGTCTCAGATTGGTGTGCGGAACCGAATGATCCCGAGACATCCTAAGCTGCGAGCTCAGGGTACCGGCTTAGCACTGATGAGACCGTTGTTACTAGAGTGGTATTAAAAATGGTCGAACAACTCGACATAAATACACATGTGCCAATAATACTGATTATTAACATCGGATATTGACTCAAGGCATCCATTCATGATGAACGAAGCCAGACTAACAAATTCCATCCATGTATCTGTTCACAGCCGACAAATGTGGCGGGATAAGCAAACAGTCCGCTCAGTGCCTCCCTCACGGGTTGCCTTGGTGCAGGAAGTTCAGCGACGCCCCCGCCTCGTCTTCCATGCAGAGCATGTACCCGATGCACAACGATCCACAGTTATTATCTTGATACTCCATCTTAGATCGATTTTTGGCTTCATTTTTCCGCCGAACCATGAACATTTGAGTGTATGATCGAGAGTGTAAAATCCTCCAACTGTACGGCGAGAAGGCTCGTACTGCAGAAGTAGCAGAACAAGTTTCCCTGCGAGTCGAAGCTGCAGCACAGGGAAAAAATGTCTTCAGACCCCGGCGACGGTAGCTCATTACGCTCCGCGCAGAATCTCTAGAGCTCTACGATCGGGCTGCCTTGTGGACGAGGTCGTTGAAGATTGTCCTGATTCCTACGCTCCCCACCGGAATGAGTGAAACCCATCTCTATGGAACGAATGATGGTTTGGGGTGACCACGAACGCTGCCCGGCACCACTTCGTCCACGGTCTTCGCCTCGGTTCTCTCACGGGGTTGAACATCTGAGATGTTACATCTCCAGAGAGTTCATGTCTTGGAAAGCTGACGGCTAATCTTCAGTACAACATAGGAATTTCCAGAACTTTCACGAATTACTCCAATACTGGCATTTCAGGTACCCACGCCGTTTGTTGAAAGAGCATCGATATCTAAAGACTATTGATGGAGTTTTCAGCCGTAGATAGCAGTTGTATTCGACCATATTCTGAAATGAGATCCGTTTTGGTGACTAAAATGATTTTCGTCACCAAAACGAACAATTTCATTCATCTTCTGGTCCATTTTGGAAACTTTCAGAAACCTTACAAGAAATTTATATTCCTGAAAGCTTTTAGCGTACCCGGGGATTTCTAAAACTCTGGAAACTGTACAACAGGTAGTACCCAAGGGGAATTGGGGACATAACGAGTTGAAATGGATGCTCGATGTCCATCGTGAACCCACTCCAAGCGGCGATAGCAAGCCCGTACGTACATTGTTACAGTGCCACTGTATATTACGGGTATAAGACTTCCTGAGAGGCGATAAAGGGGAGACGAAAGAACGACTCTTGTCCTCTTGCCAGACTTATGAACAGTCTGACGAACAACATGACACGAAGAAAACGATTCCGTCGGAATCATTCCGATACTATGCGATCTGTCACTGAACTAGGATCTCGACCCTTATTGAAGACTCTAGTATCATGATCGAGGACCCAATCCGGACATGCCAGAGAAGAACTCAGCCTGGAAAAAAAATATAAGATTCGGAAACAAGTCAGTCTTCGATTGCGTTGAGGGAAAACCTCCCCGACTTCTAACCCGAACACCTTATACTACGAGAAACTTGTTTGAACTCTTTTTTGAGTAGGCTTGAAAGATATGCCCTTCCTAGTGGTACTAGCAAGGAGTAGGAAGTAATGTCGCCTAAGGCAATCGTAAATCAATTAGAAACTCCCTCTAATTTCCTTACATCATCAGCTGCCACTCCTCAACTTCATCAAATATTTCGAGGCGCGCGACTCGGATCTGCTCATCCACATCGTCCATCTGAAAACAGGCAAGTCTAACCTCACATTGTTCCTCATTTTCAACACTACTACCAGAATCGCCTTCCAATTCCATCATGGAAATTTACGCCGTTACGTCAGAGTAGATATACACAAATGATTCCCTAGCAACTCGGGACCCATATTTTGATTTTGAGACCCCGAGAGGCTTGAATAAGACTCCAACAAAACTCACCAAAGTATCATCGTATACTGCAAGCATATCCTTCACTATGCAATATGGGAAACCCAATGACTCATATCGCTCACACTGCGACTGGACAGTAGGGTACCTATGATGGATATCACGCAGACGTCAAGATTGGTTTATACCATGCATTGACCTAATTCCCAACCGTGTGCGACTTACTTTCCCAACCCTATGAGTGGACATCCTCGTCCCTTGAGGTTCTCCATCATAACCCGTCCAAATGGGTCATCAGGATTGCACTGCTCGTACCTAACACAATAGAGTTTCACCTGTAGTAGAACAAATATTTTACGACTATCATTTTTTCCAGAGAGTATTACGCCACTTCACGTAAAATGGGTGAAACTTCAATGAACTATCATCAAAACCTACACCAGCACTCGACATTCAGCTCCTTCGATCGACCCACTAATCCACGACAACAACCTGTCACTCGATTCTGGAGGCATATATCTGGCAATTTAACAAATTCATTCTCACAGCCTCTCAAAAATCAGACCCTTACACCAATACACACTCAGCGATGAACAATGTCGGTACTCCAGTGGATGCAAAACCTACACCATGAAGATACTACACACAAGAATCCCATCAGAGCCGCCAGACTCACCTATCTCCCCAAGAGCGCCCGAAACCGTCTCCACAGCCCTCAAGTCGCAACAAGCCGACCTATACGTGTCCGCCCGTATACATCGGGCGCCGCACCCTAAAGATTCCCTACCATACCTTCCGGAAGTTTAGCCTAACGTCAGCCTACCATCCTTGATAACGAGATCGTCCTTGGATTTTCCAAGTCTGCTCCACAGCGCCTCTCGCCGCAATATCATACCTCAAATCCCACACTTCATCGAAAGACTCCCCCCAGACACACTACTCGTTTTCCGATCCACCACTTCTGGCATGTCCAACTCGAGATACCTACGATAACTTCACATGAGCCTCACACGAAATGAAGTACCTTTACGGAGTTTATCTCACCCGGGCGTGATAGTTGGCAAGCCAGTTTGATCAGTAATGAAGCATATGTTCGCTTTCCTCAGCTGGGTGCAAAAGTTCCCTCACTTATTATATAAGTTTAAATATAAAATTGATGTACAAATACACAGAAACCGATAAGAATTTCCTCAATTTTACCTCACAATTTCCACTAATGTCACCGACATATGCAGTTGACCATGTGCGTATTTTCCAATACTGAGATCCCCTATAAAAATATATACAACCGTAGATAAACTACTATATGGATATTCCCTTTTATATTTTTATTATATACATTGGAGTTTTACCCGTTTTACGTAAAGATGGCGTAAAACTCGGTGAAAAACGCGATATTTGCGTTACGCAGTAGTCGTGAAAAAGATTTTTCACTAGTGCTTCCCATATCACGGGTGAAACTCCATTAACATCAACTTTATATTAGCAACAGTTTTAGACGGAATCGATATGTGCCTGCCTAGGCCATGTTGAACTTCGGACGCGCACAGTGTGATGAGCCTCGACTGAGCCCCTCCTACCTAAGTTTGATCCCACGAATCTCCTCCTGATCACTTAGCCACCAGTAAGTAGTGTCAATGCCAGCTCCTAGGGACACTATCTAAAAATGAATACCACTCGTTTCCTTCTTCCCAATCATCCACATACTCGATGATTACGCCCACCTGAATCGCATCTTTTCCCTCTGTTTTAACATCACTTATGAAATCCAATATCGCATTTCTCATAGCCTGCACTCGAGCAAAATACCCCCGGTTTATCACAGGTTGACGATGCGCCCAGTGCCTGACGACCAGTGTAAAAATTTATGCACATCTAAATATGAAAATTCTGAGGAAATTTGAGCAAATTCTCCTTGGTTTCTATACGAATTCTGTAAAGAAATTGAGTAAATTCCTGAGCTCAGCTGAGGAAAGCGAACAAACATTGCAACACTGCTGATGACCAACACACTGAGCCTTGCACTACCGGCACATTTGCATAATGTACGCGTCATTATAATAACCCTTGCTCACAGCACTCCATTTACTCTCCGCAGCCTCGTCAGCTGTTCTCTGTATCTACCATACCACTAGAGTAACAATACTCACCGTCACGCGCCACGAAATTACCGCCTCCTCATCTCCCATTCCACCACAACTGAAAACGGGCGAATCCCTTCCACCATCAGCTGCCGATAAGTCGCCCATTGACGCCGAAGATGACCGACCTCTCGCCGATGTTGGAGGAATCGACTCGTCCAGTGTGGTGTTTTCCCCTATCGTTGGTAGCATTTCAAAGGAAGTTTCCTATATGGTTTACCACAACCTTTACATTTAGTACGTAAAATACAACCCCACATACGAACACGATGTCAACACAATTACATAACTAACGCTAATTTCAATTCTCAGCGCTTAATTCCGAATTTTTTAATTCCCTTCGAAAATGCAATCACCACCGCTGTTGATTTAACCAACAACACAACACTCAAAAACAGCAAACCTTCATACCAACCAACAGTGTTTGTGATAGAATCTAATACTTATACTTCGTACCTAAGCAGTAGTCGTATTTGCCACCATATACAGATGAGGAGCCTACTGTAGTCCTTAGGTGATACCACTAATCCACGACCCTTCCTTGCTCCTCTATATATAACTTCAAGGATGTCAATGAACTCCTACGGGGACATCCATGTTTCTAACTACAAATAGTAGTCGTGGTACTAACCTGTTTGTTGTTCATAGGCCAGTTGATCTTGTTGTTGTTACCAGTGCCCAAATCGATCATCATATGTTTATTCCTACCATAAACAAAAAGCCTCCGTCTTCCCATGAACAATGCTCGTGAGCTAGTGGTGACACGGGGGTGACTCCGGGCTGGAGATACACTTACCGATAGAAAAACATAACTGTAACAGGATCATACAACTCATACATCGTATTGAAATCAGGCACTTCCCTAGTATCAACCTAATAATGACATCTGTGGGATTCGAACCCGGGACCTCTCCCTACCAAGTAGATCGCCGCGAAGTTCTTAACATCCTCCGCACAATTATACAAAACCTCATCCATTTGCATGCATTGAGGATCATAGTCGTGGCCGAATCTGAATCCATAAATCCACTCGCTATGTAACCCAACACCGAGCTTCCACATGCCGAGCGACACATACATGCTCTGCCACATACTTCCCTACCACAGCATGTATATAGCGCTCGCCATGTTAATCGATTACAAACCCTTGTTTGGTGTTGGGATACACGCCAGAGCATACCGCACCCCGAAGATTTTCCTTCCTCAAACAACGTTCAAATTTTCCAACGTTCGGTCCTTCATCCCATTTGATTATTGTACCCCAGGCTTGTAGAGAGAGTAAGACGATTGAATTTTTCAATCCTAATACCAACATTTCCAATATTATTAAATTTGTTCATTTACACCCTGCTACCAAAACATACTTTCTCACTGCAATTCGGAATGTTATTCAATCCATGCCCGAGTTGATAAAATTCATTCAAGGGTGAAAACTTTTCGAGAAATTATCAGGAACCATGAAAGCCACCTCCTACCGTATGCAGACCAGCCGTTCCTCTTCACCCAAGATAGCCTGGTCGACCGCCCAGCCAGAATGCAGATGTGGTAACATGTACGCCATAATGGAAGGAAGACAAGGACAAGTATAGCAATACTGTAATCACTCCAACCATACACTAACACGATCTTATCATAGTAGATATACAGGAAATGGTACCATTCAATGATATATAACTTCACACAGGTGCGGTATCACACTTTGCCATAAAGACACAGGAAAACGCCCAATAAAATCAACACACTTCCTGCCATAGTATACCTACATAGAAAAACCATGTCAATGCTTCTCATCGTGATGAAGACTAACCTATCAGGAAGTGTCTTATTCAAACACAAGGCTTCCGTTAGAGCTGTGAACCCAAAGGAAAGTGAGTTCGCTGCTGGCACTGCAATCGACAAATCGTGGCTCCCTAAAATGAGCCATTGAAATAGCATACAATACCACACCTTTCCCAACTCACCCAAAAGGTAGTAGTAGCCAATCGACCCACTCTGGTTCACTGCATAGGCCAACAGAAACCTCCACCGCCCTAGCAGGCGCCACAAACTGAGGACGATTTGCTGCCATTTTGGTAGGCGCAATTCAGACGCAGTCAGGGAGTCACTCGAGCTCTCCTTCAAAAAAGGCGTCGTTGAACCCCATAAAAACCCCACCAGCAAAAAGGACAAGAAAGTCCCTCCAGCCGAAGATAACATTGAGGTAAAACACCCCTAAAAAGCTTCCTATGGACCTGTTCTGAATCTTACACGCAGTGTAATAAGATACCAGTGCGGGGGAACATGCGCATGGTCAACTACGTATGTTGGTGACAATATGAAAATGGTGAGGAAATTTTGGGAGAAATTCTTATTGGTTTCTGTACACTTCTACTCGAATTCGTATGTAAGCTTCTATAATAAGTGAGAAAGCTCCAGAGCTCAGCTGAGGAAAAAAACACAAATTCCAACACGACTTCGCCAACCAAAAGTTCTCTTCAACCGAATTCACCCTGAATCACAAATACATAATAGTCAAAAACTTCACCACGTCTACTACTACTACCACCCCATATCCAACTCAGCTCATGAACATACGAAACCGGTCCATAGAAACGAGAGATACAACTAGTGTCTACTACCAGCAGCAGCAGTCCTCGCCCCCGCCGCCGCACTCCACTGTGCAAGCTTCTGCACCTCCGACAACTGCATGACATTTTGAACCATTCCAACCCCTGTCATCGTCACCGGCTTCCCCATAAGGTGCTTCTGTGCCACTCGACGGACCTCATCTGAATCATGACCACTCAACCTCAGGATACCCAAACAGTCAAATCTGTTTTCAACCAAATCATAGACTACTCCCAAAAAGTACCCATCATTACAGTGGTCAATTTGATCAAGCCTTTTCACGAACTCAGCAGGGCTAATCCGACGACCATACACCAACAGCTGCCGACCAATATCCTCGGCTATACCTGAATTATCAAATGACCACTCCAATAGTAATAATAATATTATCCTCAAACACTCATGAAGATATAGACATCATTTTTTATATAAATACCAAATATTAGTTTTATAAAGTCAATGGCAGTTGAATCACATATGATCTAC